CATCTCAGGCATGTGCATGGCTCCTAGTCTGCACACAGATGGCTTTGGTTGTGGGATCCTCATTTTAGATGGTGGCTTATACTCATCCTCACTCTCTTCACAGCTGTTATCCAGTTCCGGACTCTCCAACAGCTCTTCAGCTAGGACTAATTTGAAGTCCAGGTACTGATGTGTGTTCTTGGATGCTCTGTGCAGAGCTTTGCTGTCAGACTTGTATTGTATCCAGGAGTTTGTGATGGCAACATCAAAGAAGTGACTGATCACACGCGATGTCCATTTCTTGGTCCTGCTTGACATACGATAGAAGCTAAGCATGCGATCACAAAGATCCACGCCACCCATGTTGTCATTATACTGCTTAATTACTGCTGGTCTTTTAACCTGGACCATGTGCTTTTCTTTCTTGGACCATCTGGTACAGATGTCTTCTGGGTCTTTCCCATGTACAGTGGATGCCATGAGCACTGGTTTGTTGTCGAACCATTTTGTGATGGCCAGCTCAGGACTCTTTCTGGCCACTGACACTGATGTTCCTCTCCCCTCTTTTTTCAACTGTTTGTCTTCTGGCAGCTGGCACAGCTTTGGGACACGGTTCTTCATTATAGTTCCAGTTGCAGGAAGGCCCTTTGCCAGCAATGCATCCAATAGATCTATGGTTGTGAAGTACCTGTCGAAGAATATGTGGCTTCCTTTTGGAACAGATTCAACCATGCGTAGAACTGCTGCAGCTCCAACTCCTAACCTTTGGACTGTAAAGGTATTCTTCCCTTGGTAGACTTCAAAATCAAGCATCAGACCATTTGGGGATGCGAGGACAAAGACCTTTAGGCCAGTAGGGTTTGGCTTGCCGGGAACATATTGCCTGACTGGACAACGGCCTGTGAATGGGATGATTTGCTCATCAATGCAGACCCTCTCTGGTTTTGCAAGGCTGAGACAGCCTTGCCGTACACGATCGAGTATTGGCCTAACTTTCCAAAGAATATCTGCCTTCTTTGTTTCCTCTGTTACAGCCAGGTCATTGACAATCTTGAGGGAGTTTCTTATCCTGAAGAATCTATCCCTAGACATTTTGCTACTTATGACTGGCACTTTAGTTTTTTTGGCCCAAAACATTTTAATTCTGGGATAGCCAAGGCAGGCCATGTGGACTGAAATGCCAAAGAAGATTTTTATTTCTTGTGGCGTAGTGTTCATACACACTCCTCTGCTTTGCAGCTCTCTTTGATTTGTGTATGTTGCCAAATCTTCAAGGACCTTGTTGTCAATCTACTGTGAAAAGTATTCAATTGGACTCCAGTCTGCACGTGTTGTAGGGTCATCTTGACACACAGGAAGCCCAGGTAACACAGGTGCAAATCTGATATGAAGGGAAAAAAAGATTAATAAATGATAAATAAAAACAGTTTATATACTCAATGCAGCTAAATTTAAAATTGTGGAACTGCATCAAACATACATATTACTCCTGGCCCACAGGGGGCGTCGAGTTTCCTGCTCATCCCTGTCTGTGTCTGACTCTGTGTCTGCATCTGTCCCTTCAACTGAGCCTTCTGCATCATCTTCATCACCGTCTTCTCTCACTGGTTGAAACTCATCCTCATCTCTCTCATCATCTGACAACTCTAAATCTGAATCTCCCTCGACTATTTTGTAAAGAATTCTTTCTGCTTCAGTTCTGTTTCCTATAAAAATGTGGAGTCATTATTTACATGAAGATAGTCCTGATGTCCACTATAGTTGACATTCATAAAATGGCAAATTTTTCAAAAGATACATAATGTATTTGCTATCAGAACTAAATATATGATTCCTAACACCTTAATGAACAAGAAAATATATGATTATCATAGTAACAAAACCATAGACAAACAATATTTGACTCACCTCTTATCTTTCCATAAAATGTGCTTGTTCCTATGCCGTCCATTTTGGATTGAAAGATGGAGGGGGTTCCCGGCCTCCCAGCCAATCAAATAAGTTATCATTGAAAAGCCCAGGATGTCCTCTGTACAGTACAGCAGGAATTAAGAGACTAGCACAAAAGATTTAAAGGAGAGGGATGAAACTCAAATGTCCACTACGGTGGACATAAGTCAATGGGCTGGGTCTCAGGCAGTCCAGATAAAATCAGGATATGCTTTCTGATAATAGTGTGTTTCAGAAGGGACTAGCATCACATAGTTGACACAGTAGGTGATAATTAACTGCTTCATGCAATGTTCAAAATGTATTAACATGTTTATGCATGTCAACCAACTGCTAGTAAATATATTGATTCCTTAAAAACTTACTTGATGTACACCACCTACAAGCAACAGGAAGTAAGCCTTGTATGACAATCATCATTTGATTTGCTGGAACATGACCACACGAAGCAGACGCAGGAAGTGACATTTAACTCAATCCGTGCAGTGTCCAAAGTGCATGAAAATTCAGAGGGACATCATCAGCAAACAAACAATTACACAGAGGTATGATAACATGCAAACTAGGGAGAAGGAGAGAATAGGAGAGGCTGGATCTCATGGGGGACAAAGACTTGCAGATGCGGCACGCCCCAACATGCCGGAGGTGCGAGGGCCAGCTCATTGCTGCTTGTAGCTTTAATTTCAGCTCTCCCTACATTGCTTCCTGATGTTCATGTATGTTACTTGATTAACTAATTTAATAACAACCTACCAACATTTTTGTTTTTATTTGTAAATTTTTTGTCTTTATAATTGAAATCATGTATGATTATGATTACTTGTGGCAGAAATACACTCATCAACATCAGGAAAAAGAAGTATCAGATTGAGTGCAGCGGACCTGGAGACAATCACTGCTCAGGGCATCTCCCGTCCTGAAAACCAGACCAAAAGGTCACCACAAGCAGTGTGATCGAACCAGAAAGAGAGGAAAGCAATCAGGTATAAGAGGTAAGATATCCCAGGTCAGAACTAAGTCTGCTCGCTAATGTCCAGTAGCAGGAAAATAAATGGATGTTTTTAATTAGTTCTGTCTCATCGTTTGAGTTTTGTCTTTTTATGAAACACAATTAAAACAGATTATATGATAGTACATGTCTGTGACTATCAGTAGCAGCAGATATAATAGTTTAACATGAGATAATAAGTAGATGTAGTCCAAACAGCAATGAGAGCAGTACATGGGGTATAGACTGTATATCAAGGTCATGTTTGCCCAGGGGAAGAACCAGTGATCTTAGCTGGGAGCAGGCGTAGAGCTTGATGGGATACTATATTAAGAAGCTGCTAAAATAACTACTAATATAACTGCACATCAGAAAAGGGTGTCTTAGGATCGATGTTACCAGATAGCCCAGTTAAGGGACCAAATGCCTGTGTTTGACAACAAAACTATCAATATGTGTGAGTGTGTTGTAATACTGTGGTAGATTGTTAGAGGCGCATTACCAATGTAACATGGTACATAAAACTGTGCTCACTATGACTGTCGTATGGGAGGCTGATTTTTTAGTTTTATATTTGAGTAAATGTAGATTTTTAAGGTTCAAAGTTCAAGTTTAATTTATTTGCCATTTTACAGCACAGGGCTGCACAATGAAAGGTAAGTTATACATACATATACACACATACACCCTGAAAGTATGTATTTGTATGTCAGTGTAAAGTTCCATTTAATTCATTTATGGTGCAGTGCTGAGGATGAATTGAGTCTGCTCTGCAGTCTGGTGGTGTGGCAGCTGAAACTCCTATATCTCTTCTTAGAAGGCAGCAGGGTGAACAGGCTGTGGCTGTCCTTTAGTATCCTTTGGGCTCTGCAGGCAGATCTTCTGTGCAGTTTTAATAACCCGCTACTGAGCCTTCCTGTCCTGGGCCGTGCACATCCCATGCCAGTTAGTAATGATTCCAGTCAGGATGCTTTCTATTGCTCCTCTGTAAAAGCTGACAAGAACTTTGCACAGGAATTGTCCTTCTTAAGCTTCCTTAAGAAAAACAGGTGTTTCTGAGCTTTCTTCACCAGCATGGAGATGTAAGAGGATCATGTCAGGTTCTCTGTGATGCTGATTCCCAGGAGCCTGAAACTGTTCACCTGCTCCACCTCAGCTCCACTGATGTAGACAGGAGCGTGTGTCTTTTTTTTATTTTTTTTTACATTTAGTCTACATTTATTGTATAAAGAAACAGTACGGTGTGTTAAAGATGTAATCCTACTGATGAAGCTCCAAAAATGGTTCAGAGTTTACTCTTGGAAACAGCAGATGATGAAACTATCTCACCACATTAGTGGCTGTTCTGTAGGTTTCCATCATATCGCATGGTGTTAACAACCTTTGAGATGATTGAAATCAACATGTTTCACCTTGTGGCTTAGGCTCACTCACTGAATGGAGTACCATTCACATTTGACCTTCATTTTCAAGCTCATGAAGGGAGCTCCATTGACTAGTGATGACATTTTGCATTTTCTGTCAAAAATCAGTACATACATACAAAAAAACTTTTTATTCAAGGGCCTTGGTGCATAAGTTTGCTGCATCGGACGAAGGGGGGGTTACACCCTGGACAGGTTGCCAGTCCATCGCAGGGTTCTTTTTATCAAATATTTAAAAATAATAATAATTTAATGTTTAATACCTTGCAAGTGATTTTCATGTGCAAAGACTGCAGTTCACAAATTACCTTCTTAATTATGACAAATCTAGTACTGTATACATTTTTCATCATATTTGCTTGTTTTAATGGTTATAGAAAGTATGCATGTGGACAGCTCTTGTATGTGTTTATGTGTATGTATGGGCTATTATATATGTTATTTTAGCTCTCAGATTTTAACATGTCCCAATCTGAATACATAGGCCGATAAAGTATGTACACTCACATGAACACACAGGAGCCAACATAGTTTCAGAATTTATTTGTTGAATTAATTTTTTGCATCTCTTTTAGCAGACAGTCTTAATTATACATTCAAACACTCGTCATATTATGTATCAAACTGATGTGAAGTGTAAAGAATGGTGTGTTGTTTGGCTCATGCTGATGCTGGAGGTCACACTCCTGCAGTCCTGTTGTTCACCACATCACAGTGTTCATATTGGTCCAATATGCAGTCCAATACTGCAGCCTTTTTGACAGGGAACGCGCTTCCAAATTTACCCTCCCGCTGCGCTCGCTCACTGTACCTTAAAAAAGCGCGTGCGCGGCTGAAGGTCACTTAAACACAAAAGGCTTTCAGCGCTGCGGTCCAATATAGCGCATGCGCGCTGCCGGAGGACTGCTTCACAGACCGCAATATGGCGAGAATGCCTGCCAGCGGAGACACGGAGCAGGAGCAGATGAGCTGCCCCGAGAGAAGAAGGGATGAGGATAATGAGGAGGACGAAGAAGATGAGATCCAGGAGATCCAGATCACCGGGGAGGAGGAGGACGAGGAGTCCGATAGAGATGGTGTGGAGCTGGAGTGGGAGTCAGAAAACACAGTGCTGGACTCCAGCGGTTCCGCCGTGGAGACACAAGCGGTCGTTATGCGGAGTATGGACCGAGGAGAGGAGGAGGAAGAGGCGGACCGCTTCAGCAGTAGCATCCCCGCTGGGCTGGAGTCTCACCTGGAGGGAGACCTTCAGCGGTCAGAGCGGAACAGACTGAGCGAGAACACCCGCCTGGCCACCCGTTATGCGGTGAGGATCTTCAGGGAGTACCTCAATGAGAAGGACCAAAGTCCAGACTTTGAAACTCTGGACAAGGAGGCGCTCTGCGCGGTGCTGCGCTCCTTTTACGCGGAGGCGCGCTCCAAAAGTGGACAGTTGTACAGCAAGTCATCCCTCATCAGCATCCGGAGCTCACTGAACCGGTACCTGAACGAGCCGCCCTACTGCCGCACCTTGGACCTCACCAAGGACCCAGAGCTGCGCAGCGCCAACCTCACTCTGGCAGCAGTCATTCGGAGGCTGGAGGAGCAAGGCGCCGGTCCCGTGGTGCAGAAGCAAGCCATCACGCGCTCGGACCTGCGGAAACTATACGAGTCCTCTGTTTTCAACACAGACACGCCGTTCGGGCTGCTCAACAAAGTCTGGTTCGAGACATGTATGTATTTCTGCACCAGGGGTCGGGAGAACCAGCGGGAGCTGGAGGAGGACTCTTTCGGCCTGGCTGTGGATGAGGACGGGAGAAAGTTTGTTTATTTTAAAGCTCTCGGACCGTACCACAAGTCTCGCTCCGCCGCCTGGACCAAAAAGCGTCCGGACGCCGACGAGGACACCTTGCCGCGGATGTATGAGACGGACACGGAGCAGTGTCCGTATGCCAGCTTCGTCCGGTACGTGTCTAAACGGAACCCGCTGTGCAGGGCGTTCTTCCAGCGGCCCCGGGACCACTGCTGCGCGAGCGACGTGACGTGGTACGAGAACAAAGCCATCGGTAAGAACCTGTTGGGCACGAGGATGCAGATGTTGTCGCGTGCTGCCAAGCTCTCCAAGACCTACACCAACCACTGCATCGGTGCCGTCTCCATAGCAACGCTCAACAGCATCGTGGGCGCCGCGGGCTCCAGGCCAACGACGACGCTTTACGTTGCCTCGGAAACGGTCAACGGTCACGCGCAGTCTCACCTCCAGCTCGTGATTCCGTACCTCCGCCGGGTAACAGACGCTGCGGATGTGAAGCCGCACCGGACAACGACAACAACGGCAGCAACAATCAACACATCAACAACAGCAGCTGCCAGCAGAGCCAGCGCGGAGGAGGACCCGGAGGCTCCGTACGCCAAGAAGCTGTGCGTGCGCCCCGGGACGGAGTCGCCTGTGGAGCGGAACGAGAGCGAGCCGGAGCCTGCGAGAGCCAAGGAGTCCCATATTCATACACAGCCCGCCGTCCGGTCCCCGGTCGCTGTGCCCACGCAGGTAACATAGGAAATGTGATAGTTATCATCTTCAGCAGCAGCTCGTGCGTAAGCTGCGCCGCAGGCAAGTCAAAACATGGAGTCCTGTATGAGTAACACTGTGCGGATAAGATACAGTCCATACGAGTAGTGAAGCAGTGTAACGTGTCTTTGTGCACATATATTACATTACAGTGTAGGAAACATCAAAGTGTTGATGAGAGAGATGAAACAGTGTGTAAACAGATGATTTTTTTTTGGTGGAGAAAATATTAATATTTGTTTGAATGTAGTTTTCCCATGTTTAGTGGTAAACCACAGTGGAAATACATAGCCTACTGATGATTACTATTTTTGAAAGGATTACACATTTACAGGCCCTGTGTGTAGCCTATTAGAAAATCCCTCACTTATTTAAACTTGAGCCAACAAAGTCATTTAATAGATGCTGCACTTAGTAAAGTAGCTTCATCTATGTGTAATATGAAAGATGTTGCTGGTAGTTACACCCACACAGAAATATCACCCAACTCTGCAGTCCTCTTCAGCTCTACAGAGCCTTTAGCCTCAGCTCAGTGTTTTGTTTATGCTGCTCAACTTTACTGCTTGGATCCACTCTCATATAGAGGACTGATTCTGACAAATTCAGAAATACATAGAGAAATAAATAAATGCTCAATAAATAAATAAGCATCCGATTAAATGCACAAAAAATAAAATAGATAAATAAATATAGGCAGTAATTAAATTATACAATGACACATAAATGTATATATCTTTACTTATTCACCTTTGTAATAATTACCTTATTATTTATTGTCCGTTATAATCTTCAACTTTATTTATTAATTACTTATTTTTTAAATGTATTTATATATGTGTGTTTTAATATTTTTGTCTGTTTTATTTTTGCCTACATTTATTTATCTACTTTCTTTTTTGTGCATTTAATCGGATGCTTATTTATTTATTGAGCTTTTAATTATTTCTGAATTTGTCAGGATCAGTCCTCCATAATCTCACAGCCCTCACGAACCTTACTTCCAGCAGCAGCAGGCAGCTGTTTTCAGTGAAAAAGCTGTAAAATCTCACTGCACTACCTGCTCAGTGCTAAACAGCAGACAGGCACAATAAGAGACTTGCCAGTGTAAAAGTAAACTAGCATGAAACAATTGGAGCAACTAGCAATACCTATCTCTTTAGATAGGTATGTTTCTCAGGAGTTCATGGAGAGTTCCACCATCAACCACCATCTTTTTAGCTCAAAAGTAAAGTGGATGTTAGATTTTTATTTATCAGGTGGCCAGACACACAACTACAAATGTTGTTCTCCTGTCCCAAAATGGGCAAAAAGTTATTTAATGCAGCTCTATTAACCTAAGCAAATATTACAGAGGGCTTAATGTGCCCTGCTGATAAAAATTTGTATTTTAGGTTATATATTTGTCGGACCTATGGGATTACTGTTCCATCAATACAGTCTGTCACGTAGGTGTCTCCAAGGCTACCTTTTCAATGAGCCAATCGGGGGAGAACCAAACTAAAAGGAGAATGAATTTTGGATTTACATTCATCAGACATGATTTTAAAAGAATGCTGATGCTGCTGATGTGTATGCTGGATGTGTACATAGTGTTTGTTAATGTGTTTGCTCCGAAATTTTGATGATATAAGTGATATTTTCAGTGTGTCAGTGTTTTGTTATGTTAATGTTAATTCATATAGTAAAGATAGTTACTGAAAGCTGCAGGCGAGCTAACGCGTCGGCTAAATGCAGTAAATGTACCGTGATCATGTAACGAGCGTGGATTAGTTCAACCTGCAGCTGATAAAACTATTACTGTAATGTTGCAGTAGGGGTTTACCTGGGTTTCCAGTATATTGTGTGAAGCTGTCTCCCTGTCTGTCTGTAGCCGCTGTCACTCTGCCTTTTTTCCGGGAGGATTGTGCCGATATGCGGCTGGCTGCGCTGAACGAAGTAACGTTACGGAGTCGGTGTTGATCTGCCTCTGAGACGGGAACGTTGAAGTAACAGAGCCTGAACATGTCTGAGTGAAAAGCCACAGCCTGCATGCTGGTGTTCCTGCGTTTATTGCAGGATTTCTGTATGACAGTGTCTGTGTTTCGGATTATGCTTGCTCATGAGTTCAAGCGAGCACACTTACAAGCACACACCTGGTTGAAATCTCAGAACCACACCGCTAGTGGCCGCTGAAAACTACATAATGCCCCTTTAAAGTAGTTCAGAACAGTCCTCACACAGCCAGACTTTAAGTCGCAGACTTGAGGTTGACCTTGCATGAACAGAAGACAATAAAGTACAACTGAACAGGTTTGAAGAGAGCAGTCTGGAACAGAATTAAAGAAAACAGCACAAAAGTCTAGAAGAGAGCTGAGTGAGAGCCCAGGCCAGGGGACCTTTGTTTCCAGCCTGTCAGGCACTGGCCTCATACCAGACTGCCAATTGCTTGCCAGGCACCTGGCATTGTAAAGAAGCCTGCAAGGCAAACTAAAATAGCTGGTGCTCTGACAGAGCAAAGCCATATCTATGTGCCTGACAGGCTGTCCTTGTATTTATTTGCTTCCTGTAAGGCTTCTGGCATTATCTGCTAGTCCTGAGGCTGCCTGGCAGCTATGATTCTAAATCAGCACTTCTCTAAAACTTTACCTACTGGGTTAAGCCTGCCAGCCCTCTCACAGGATGTCACAGTGTAGAGTGTGATTTGGCTCATGTCAGAGGAAATGTAGCCTTGGAGACAACTGCCTGACAGACTGTATTGATGGAACAGTAACCCCACAGGCCTGATAAATAAATAACCTAAAAAACTATTCTATATCAGCAGGGCACATTGAGCCCTCTGTAATATTTGCTATTGGTTATAGAGCTGCATTAATGCTTTTTGGCCACTTGGGGACAACAGAACAACATGTAAACACAACAGATCAGTGGTGAGGCCCCTGCCACACAGAGCACATCTTATCAGTGGGAAGGAGGCTAAAGAGACAAGACCTCTAAAACAACTCATACAAGTGTTTTCTGATCTGCCCCCATCAGCAGGAGCTGTGTCGTCATAACCGTTATGAATCCCTGTTGATACATAAGTATTTTGTTAAGGTTAGGGAAACAGCATGGTTTGGGTTAAAATGATTACTTTGTTCTATAACAATGTCACCAGACTTCCTCCTTTGCTCCCATCATTATTCCTTCAGCTGCTCGTTTGCTTTTACTTGAACTTTGCTGAAATGTCTGATGCTGTCATTTTCCTGTGGGGACAGTCTGTAGAGAGAAGGCACTGTCTAATGCTTTCTTCACATAACTTTGTGTCTCTACCACATTGGTGTAATGATAATATAAATTATTATCTTCTATTTAAATTGTGAACTTACGTAGTCCCATATTAAAATACCAACTGATGCGGGACAATTTCATCAGCTGTGAATAATACTAATAATTCTACTATTGCTTTTATACGTGTACTACCACTACTATATGTGTCTATGTGTGTGTGTGTTTTTTTGTGTACCAGGATAGCCGTGGCAGCTGCAGCAGTATGTCGAGTCAGCAGCTCGTCTCTTTGTCTCCTGTGTCTCCTCTGGGCTCCGCCGGCATTCCCACACCAGCCAAGCTCACCAAAACCAACGCACCTGTCCACATTGATGTAGGAGGACATATGTACACCAGCAGCCTGGCCACCCTCACCAAGTACCCTGAGTCACGGTAAGAGACGCACATCCACAATGAAAAAACAATCCTTAAAATACCTTGAACTCCTGAAAACGCCCCGAAAATCTTACTCTAAATCAAGGTATTTGGTATGATTGTTGTCGTGTCACGATGGTTGTCAACCTTAATTTGTCCATTCATTTGAAAAGGCAAAAACTAAACCACTAGAGCAGGGGTCAGCAACCCTCCTGAGCCACATGTAGCTCTTTAGCCCCACTCTAATGGTTCCTTGACTTTGTCACTGTTGTAGGCTTAAAGTCATCCTTTAGATACTGAACCCCGAATTGCCCCTGGCGGCTGTTCCGCCAGTGTATGAATGTGTGTGAATGTTAGTTTCTGTTTGAGCACTTAGGCTCAGTGAGTGAATGTTGGATGCAGATGTAGTGTAAAAGCGCTTTGAGTGGTCGAAAAGACTAGAAAGGCGCTATACAAATACAGAGCATTTACATTTACATCCTAGTCAACTAGTATCCTAGTATTCAAGTATTCAACTGTAAAAACATGTACACTGGATCAAAAATTTCTTCACTTTCTCAACTAACATGTGCGTCATCATGCTACATCCTGCTGCCAAACTCTATAGCGTATAGTGTCTTCAGTGGGTAGGCTGTTCTCCTCATATAGCTATGGATTCTAAATCCAAAAAAAGAAAAATCTCAGAGAACAGAAAATTTAGCAGTGTGTGGGTAGATTTGTATGTTTTCACCACCACTCCTGCTGGCTTACCAGAATGTTTGAAATTGCGGTACTTGAATACTTTTATAAATGCACCAAGACATTGCATTGGAAATACAAAGTTACAAATAATCAGAAATAGCCTATAAGCATACTGCAGCCACCTTGTGGTAAAACATTTGAATAAATAGACACATTAGTAATATTGAGGAGCTAATTTAGACAATAGGCTGTGTAACCTGCATTTAAAGGGCTTTTATGCAGCTCCAAGCAGGTTTATTTTTTTCTAGCCAAAAGTAGCTCTTCAGATAGTAAAGGTTGCCGACCCCCACCCTAGAACATGAAAATGAAAGCCCTTAAATAACTAAGTCAGGAGATTTCAAGTAGTTTGTCACTTTTACATAATTTGCACATTATTTGACAAATCCAGTCATTATCAAATGAAAGTGTTATAAAGGTAAGCATTTGGCTTTACAATTACATTAGGGGTCTGAATTATATCCAGGTGCAAATTAATAACATTTTAAGGGACTCAGGTTCAGGTATATAAATTGTTTATCTGAGATTTGGGCTAAAATTACTTACAAGTACGTAACTTTTGACTGTTTTAAACCCGTAGTTTTCACTTCACTGATAGCACACATGGTCATACTGGCAGAAAGAGGAAAGTACCCATACACCAATCCGCCATAACATATTAACCACCTGCTAGTCATAAAGTAGGTCTCCTTTTGCCGTCAAAACAGCCCTGACCCGTTGAGGCCTGGACTTCACTGTGTATGATGTTCCCACATCCTTTTTTATTAGAGCCAGCATTACATTTTTCAGCAATGTAACCTTCAGTAGCTTGTCTGTTGGATCAGACCGCAAGGGCCAGCCTTGGCCCATGACCCTGTCACTGGTTCACTGCTTTTCCTCCTTGGACCACTTCTGATAGGCACTGATCCCTGCAGGCCGGTTTGGAGATGCTCTGACCCAGTTCTCTAGCCATCTCAATTTGGCCCTTGTCAAAGTTGCTCAAGTCCTCCTTATGCTTTCCCATTTTTACTGCTTCTAACATATCAACTATAATGACACCATGTTCACCCACTGACAGGTGCCACTGTAATGAGATAACAAGTGCTATTCACTTCCCCTGTCAGTGGTCAGAATGTTATACCTGATGGGTGTATTTCCACCCTCCACTGGTATCAGAATACAGCAGTGGATGATGGGAAATAAAGGCTGCTGCGACATCTCTGTCACTATACCTAATACATTCAAATAATATTGAAAATTGGCTGTGTGTACTTAAAAATCTGTCAACAAGTTCTGAACATGGAGCTGCTGCAGTACATTTTAGGACATCTGTGGCCAGCAGACATGACAGCCTCCCCAACATTTGGTTGGTATTTGATGAAGAGCCTCTCTGTTTTTTTCGTTTCTGGCAGGATTGGTCGTCTGTTTGATGGAACGGAGCCCATAGTGTTGGATAGTCTAAAGCAGCACTACTTTATCGATCGAGACGGCCCCATGTTCCGCTACATACTTAACTTCCTCCGGACCTCAAAACTCCTCGTCCCTGATGACTTCAAAGTGAGTGTCTGTCTAGAGCTTTGATCAGGTACTACCACAGTTAATTAATGCAGCGTGTCTGACCAGTCCCAAACCAATAAACAAAGACTGTCAGAGGGAGGAGACTATAGACCACTTACAGAAACTATCAGTAACAGTAACTAGAGTATACTGTTATTCTTTGAGACCCTGTCAGTGAGCAATGCCTTGCTAACAAACATTCCTTTGTTATACTGTTGTATATAAGTCACATCTTTTCTTTACTGTAATAACTTTCTATATACTTGATGCATTTTAAAGCTACTATGTGTAGATTTTGTATGTGATTATAGCACCCAAGTGCAGACACTGAGCACAGGAGACAAGGTACATTTTTAACAGTTCATTCAACAACAGGTGGAATTTGAGTTGGGCTGTAGAAGAACAGTGTGAACAGGGGCCAGACAGGTTGCTGTGGCATATCTGTTCCAGGAAACAGGTTGGCTGAGGATCCGCGGTGTGTGATTGTTGGCGTGCATCCCAGAGTCTTATAAAGTAGAGAAAGATAACAAGTGTTACCAAAACGAGTTGACAACAAGAAATAACTAGAAATGATAGTGTCTAGGAAACTAGGGAGGCGATGTACAGTACCACAAGTGGCACAAAATAATCTGATGATGAGTCGCAGGAATTCATCACATTCACACAAACAGACAGGAGGGAAGGGAACACAGAGGAGACAGGCCAAAAACCCAGAGTCACAGCCCTGGCTATAGCAGGCATATGTTTTTGTTTGTAGAAAAATGAAAATTAATGCAGTCTATTTGTTGCTTTCAGCCTTTGTACTTCCACTAAAGAGGAACTAAAGTAGACAATTTTAAACTACACAGAGTGGCCTTAATTATGCATTCAGTATGTCAGCTGTCAACTGTTTAGCTGCGGCAACCTCAGGGTCTGAAAAGTGAAGCCAAAGCAGAGTGCATTCTTTATATTGGCCAGGAGGGGGGCGACTCCAGTGGTTGCAAAAGGAAGTCAGCTTGTATAGATGTCTATGAGAAAATGAAAACAAAAGTGGTTTCAGTAGTGGCAGGATGATGGGGAGCAGTGAGAGGGACAGAGAGTGCATGAGGAATCAGAACGCACAGTAGCAAATAGTCAATAAAAGTAAAGTAATAAATAATTGTAATGGTTGTGGTTATAATACAAATATCAAGAAAAATGAATAATAGCAATGCTACTGATAGCAATAGTAATGGTTCAGGACTCACCTGAGCCAGCCCTAACTATAAGCTTTATCAAAGAGGAAAGTCTTAAGCCTACTCTTAAATGTGGAGATGGTGTCTGCCTCCTGAACCCAAACTGGAACCTGGTTCCACAGGAGAGGAGCTTGATAGCTGAACGCTCTGGCTCCTAGTCTACTTTTGGAGACTCTAGGAACCACAAGTAACCCTGCATTCTGGGAGCGCAGTGCTCTGGTGGGGTAGTAAGGTACTATGAGCTCTTTAAGATAAGATGGTGCCTGACCATTAAGAGCTTTGTAGGTAAGAAGAATGATTTTAAATTCTATTCTGGATTTTACTGGAAGCCAATGCAAAGAAGCTAAAACAGGAGAAATGTGATCTCTTTTCCTGGTTCCTGTCAGAACACGTGCTGCAGCATTCTGGATCAGCTGAAGAGTCTTAATGGACTTTTTCGAGCTGCCTGATGATAAAGAATCGCAGCCTAGAAGTAACAAATGCATGGACTAGTTTTTCAGCATAATTTTGAGACAAGATACGCCTCATTTTTGAAATTTTACGTAGGTGAAAAAAGGCGGTCCTTGAAATTTGCGTAATGTGAGACTTAAACGACATGTCCTGATCAAAGATAACTCCAAGATTCCTCATAGTGGTGCTGGAGGCCAGGGCGATGCCATCCAGGGTAACTAGATATCTTTAGATAATGCTTCTCAGAGGTGCTTGGGGCCAGGTACAATAACAGTTTAGTTGTTTAGCTAACTGATTGGTTTCGTCTGGCTTGAACGATAGATATAATTGGGTAGTGTTGGAGAAACACTACTTTAATAAACACTTGTTCAAAAGGGCAACATCCTGTTATTTAGCAGGGGGTGAAAGTCTTTTCAGAAAGAGTTGAATTCTTTTGGTAGATTGACCTTTTCTTCTGCTTTAAAGAAAACACAGACAACTTCTTACTGATTAAATGAGGGCACTTATTTATAACTAATACCTAATAATTAATACATTAGGAATAATAGAGAAAAGAAAAAAAACAACAGATGAATAGCAGATACAGATGAAATAAACCTGATCTTATTGGCAATAGTTAAGTGAAGTATGTGATCTAATGGTGAAAACACAATGTTAAAACACTAACGTAACCCTAGGGCACTTAATCTCTCTAAATGGGAATTAATATATTATTCAACCTCACCTCCTTTTCACAGCACCTGCTGTTTTGAAGCGCTGGCAGAGACGAGATGCTCCAGCTGGCTTTCCTGCGTTGTGTGCAGGATTCAGGCCACCGTACACCGGGGGTGCAGTAACACTTTCAGCTGACTCCTGACTCCTGTGGAGCAGGTCAGGCAGCAAAGATCCGGGCCAAGATGTTGCGGGTTTCTTCTTTTCCAACTTTAGTTGCGTTAGAACACAGAGCAAGCTCCTTTTGAGAATGTCAGCTACTTTCAAAGCTAACTGGTACTCAGGTACAGCTGTGGTTTCCTGGGTTACAAGTTGGTTTGTCAAATAAAATACATCTGAGTACACCAACTTCTTCAGCTAGGCTACGAATTGCGTTTGTCAGATAAAACCAAAAAACAGAGAAATAGTGGCGTATAACTTGTGAGACTAGCAGAAGTGCTTCAGCAGAACTACTCTAGGTTAAAAATGTACATTGGATAATTAGCTGCTGTAATGAAGAATTGAACAAATTTAACTGGGTTGAATTTAGAGCAACAAAGATATGCTACCAGTTACATACAAGCACTGGAAACTGGAAATGAGACAATACGCTTACATGTCCTTTACAGTCTATGCTGCTACCTAAGGTTTAGTACCTCAGCTGTTTACTGATTGACTGGCCAAGTATACATCAAATGACTATACACAAATGTGTGCAACAATGCTAACAATGTTACCATTATTTGCCTTGACACAGTACACAGTATGTGCTATGCCCCAAGGTGGGAGTGGATATATCACAGCGGTGACTATAATATTTCCCTTCAACCTTGACCAGAAATATTTATGCCACCATGTTAGAATACTGAACTCACTGGAATTGATGTTTTTACATAACTAATAAACACACATTTTCAGCAACCATTACATACTTTACAAATCATTCTCTCCAGCTTGGTAATTTGTGTGCTCAATAACCTCTTAACCTTGTGACTGTCTTCATGTTTACATGAGAGTGCACAAATGACACAAGTGAGAGGAACCTCAGACGATGTACACTTAATACGAGATGATTCTAGTTGGAGGAATCCATGAAGCAAATGATCACAATGTCTGATAGAAGCACCCAAGGAGTTACTGTGTGTGTGTGTCTGTGAAGTCGCCTCTTTCTCCTTTCCCTGCCCTCAGTTCCCTATTGCATTCTCATTAGATTCTTCTTACTTCCTGTGTCAAACTCATCACCAAGGTGCACCAACTATAAGCACATCCAGTTTTTGGATGCAGTAAAATCAAACGTCTCGCAGCTCTCAATGTCAAAACCCAGACCACCCGTGCTGACAAGTCGTGTAGTGTGTAGTCTGCATTAAGCTTGATTTAGTCATTTATGCCCTCAAATTATCAATATGTTGAAATATCAGTCAAACAAATGAAGTCTGTTCTGCATAAAGGTGGGAAATTTATCTCTGTGTGACAAATTGTGGTGATTATTGTTATTATAAGTAAAATCACATTTGGTGAAAGGAGTTACTCATGACTGTTATTGCTATTTCTTTTTTGGTTTATGGTTACATGTGTGTATTTGTGTGTGTACCTGTGTGGATGTGTATTTGTGCATGCGTGTGTATTTTTACAAGCTGATCTTTTTTTGCAGGAATACTCACTGCTGTATGAAGAGGCCAGTTTCTTCCAGCTGGCTCCTCTGCAGGCCGAGCTTGAGCGCTGGAGGACTGAACAGGAATACAGGGGAGGGTGTTTGGAGTGTGAGTGTGTCATGATTCACGTGGCTCCAGAGCTTGGTGAGAGGATCAGCATGAGCGCCCACTGGGCCGTGATCGAGGAGGTTTTTCCAGAGGTCAGAAACGTCATGTCCAATTCTTTGAGCACTAGTCGGAACCAGGACTCCACACACATCATTCGCTTCCCACTCAACGGCTACTGCCACCTCAACTCTGTCCAGGTACAAAACACACTCTGGGTTCAAATTTCAAACACAATGTTAGTAAGTGATCAGACAGTAGTGACTAAACTATTCAGTGGTAGCCAGAGTAGACAAACCAACTCCAACAGAGGCCCAGGTATTAATGAACATCTTAAAGCCAAGAGTAGCTCTGGGCCAAAAAAAGGTAAAAACATAGCTGACATTGTCAGTCTTAATTTAATATCTACTGGGTTTTTGGTCTCAGGACTTGGTCACACCAGCATTTATAAACGCAAAATACCAGACAAAAATAAATTAATTCCAATTAAATCATGTGATCAGTAAATGCATTGAATCAGATATCGCAATCACATTGATGTGAAAATAGAAAATAGGGAACATATTTATATTAGCTGTGTCACACCATCCAATTTGATATACTGTAACCCTGCTCTGCCATCGTATGGGGGTATTACTGTACCAATATTCTTTGCAAATGTGTATGAAGAGTTGTGTATCTCAGTCCATATGTGTGCTAACATGCATAAGATATTACATGTGTAAAATAATCTGATAATATGTATGTAAAAAACCTGTAAAAATACAGTACCCTGGGAGGAAATTTTGAGGAGCCACATGAGAGCAAGCTTGGGGAATATCAGTCCGTCGCTTTTGAAAGCCAGGATGGAGAACCTGGAACCTTGTGCCTTCAAAGTAGACAAGCCCAGCAGATGAATCTGAAGGTGATGTGGGCTGGATGCATCCCACTTAGTCCTGATGGTGAAAACCTAAAAGAGTCAGAGAAAACATGGCCACCATAGTCTGAAGGTAGATTACCTTCACTGCTGTCAAGCGAGCGTTGCTAGCTAGTTCCAAACCAGGTGGCAAATGTATTCAAATGTGACGCAGACTAAGCGACACTAGCCTAGCAATTAGCAGAAGTGTGCGGTGTGTTGTCAATGAGACAGAGGAATGCAGGAAATTCTTCACAAATGTGCTGGTTATTCTCCTTGTGGTACTGGTACAACAGCTAGCTAGCCACCGCTGCTTCCCTCCCAGTGTCGCACATAGTGGAGGGAGCGAGCAGGCAGAAATATGTAGGTAAAGATAAACTACAACAATACATGCTTAGACAGACAGTTCAGCAACATCAGATGGTGACCTGGGCTGTGTCCAAAAAGTCAAATAATTTCCTTTCCTTGACCTTGATGGAAAACGTCATGAGGTCAAGGAAAGATGTGAAGTAGAATCCACAAGGACTTAGGAAAAGAGGACCCGCAGGTCTAAGAGAATCCGACTGCTCTTTTCGTGGCGTAATTATGCGATGGCGGATGAAACTACAATGTTCTGAATATGGACTATAAAAGCGCATCTCTGACACTGCGCCTGTGTTGTTTTAATGCAGGCCATCTAAAGGTGGACAACATCGTGGAATATATTAGTACTTCATATTCAAAATAGTAAAAAGGCCTAGGCTATAGGGTAGCCTACCAGTCACTAAATAATGGACAGGGTTTGAGAATTGAGAATGCTTGCTCACACTCACCCTCCTGCCCACCCATATTTATCAACATGAATCCCAATTATTATTATTGTTGTTTGTGTATTACAATGTTTCCCACAGAATGACAGTGTAACTGTAGAGAGAGAGAGAGAGAGAGAGACCGAGCAAGAGGAGGTGCTGAGCTAATATATGCGCTTTTAGAGAGTAAGAAAATGCGGTTAGCGTTGATAATGCTGCGGGCCACCACAAATAAATCAGTGTGTGGGAAACACTGAAATACTGTAATACATTACATTTACTGTAGAGGTCATCCAGCTTGATCAGGGTGTCAGCATCTGTGATTGAAGTAAAATCAATTTATGATATTGCTGAAGGCTGAAAATACATAACGTGAACCTACACGCTACAACATTATCCTCACTTTGATCATATTACAAGACCAGTAACAGCTCCCATGGGTCTCAGTTATTGTTGACAGTCCAGTCCAACACACATACATGTTAGCAAGTTATGGTATGAGAGAGAAAAGGCTTAATAGCCAGTGGTAACTTACATGGTCATCAACATCCTTTATCTGTCGTGGTCGGTGATTTCTTTTTTTTTTATTGTTGTAGAAAATACTTTAAACAATCCGAAACATAAAATGGTGTTGAAACAGCATCGGATTACAGCAAAGCCAAAAGAAAGAAGGAAATTGTGAGGCATATTCAAGTATCATAATGTGCTTCTGTATTGCAAGGATTTTGTTAAATATAAATTGATGGATTTTATCCTTTGAGTTTGAGAACGTGTGTCGCTTTAAATGTTACCGCCGTAAGGAATTGTGGGAATCTAGAAAATACAATGAAAGACAGTTAACACACCCAAACACAGAAAACACAACCAGATACACACATCACAAACTAATACACAACCACACACAGAAACAAGCACGTACAGGCTAGAAATAAATTTAGGATATCTGGAATCACGTTGAAAATAAAATCATGCAGTTTCTCACCTACTCAAAGTGGCATATTCATTTATTTTCACAAGACATATATTCTTCTCTAACTATTCTTCTTGTTTTATGTGGTAGGAGATGAGGGGCAATTGTTTTTTTGTTTGTGTATAGCCCTTAAAGGTGGATATGCTTACATGCTGAACTTGTTTATTCTAATGTACTCTAGTATTTTGTTGATTTTAATAAAACAATTATACAGACGATAGAAGTTGTACTTAAATTTGCAAAACATTGCCTCTAGCAGACTTGACTTAACTGCAGCCTGTAAAGGCGCCATTAGACAGTGCAACAACAATCGTGTAAGTTTATTGCATGTCACACAGACAGCGAGATGGTGTAATAAATGTCAGATTGAGCGATGAATGCATGTTGAATTGTAGCTCTATGATGTGAAGAAAAGTATTCGAGAGCAGAGCCTCAAGATGGCTCTTACAAAATGTCCCACTGGCCAGTTTATTAACTTGATTGTATATTCTGATTAGCTGAATTCTGATTTTATATTTATATTTTATTTATTTTTTAAGTTCTACTGATGACAAAATTTGTGCAGCTATTGTTTTGCTTTACTTGACTTCAGCCCTCCCCTGGAGAAAATGTGTAAATGTATTCCTCAAAGGCTCCATCTCAAATCTCATCCTTGTGTTGCTTTTGTTTCGTTTGTGTGTGACTGCAGGTGTTGGAGCGGTTACAGCAGAGAGGGTTCTGGATCACAGGTTCATGTGGCGGTGGAGTGGACTCTTCCCAGTTTAGTGAATACATTTTACGGAGGGAGGGCCGAGGCAGCAGACACCCCCCGACCCTCATCCGAATCAAACAGGAACTCATGGACTGAACACAGAGTAAATCATGGATGTTCCCCTTTGTGCACACATATCAGCAACTGTTATTTCTCAAACCGAGAACAGCTTCACTTCAGCATGAAAGGAGTCAACAAAATGACCAGATAGAATACACATGATATCTTAAGCTGCAGAGAAAATCCACTACATAGGTGACTGACATGTCAGTGTATCTTTTACTTTACTTAACAGTTGCCAGATTCATTTCAGACAGTAGTATCATTACAGTAAAAAATGAATCCATCATTGCAGGGATTTGCAGGGGATCATGGGAATGTGATCCCAATTTTGAGGTACACTAGCATTAGCATTTCTATTAATATGAAATGGAAGCTAGTACTTGCAGTTAGGATAAAATGTTTTATTATGGGACAATTGTAATGTTATTTATTGCGATAATGTATATTTCTTGAAAATTCAATTGAGAAACCACTGCTAGATAACGTAACCACATGCTAATGTATGGTTTTGTCTAATCCACTGAATTAAATACTGAAAAATCCAGGTACTTCATCACATTGATGCAAAAATTGTGTAAATCGCTACTGCCAGAACAGTCCTGCTCAGTGATTTCCAACATGGCCCACATTGGCCTACCACCACCAGAGATATATAAAGGAGAGCGACTGCAGTAAACAGTATGCCAAAAACTTTAACAGCTGACATATTTCCATTGTTTAATGGTATATATACTTGCCAAACCCTACCATTAGTCATCTTACCACGGTCTCAGACCACATGCTGAGGTTGGACAATTTGCCACATATATAATGCATGAACTTTAACGATGCTGATATTTACTAAATGGTACAAAACCCCAAATAAGACTCCTAGAAGCTACTGTATGTTTGGGAACTGGCTGGTGGCTACAGCTCAAACTGCATGGTTTTCACCAGGGTTTTTCTGCAGTTAACAGATGACTGCATACACATACACGTGTAAGAATATCCTCTCAAGACTTCTTTTATAAATTAAAAAGCATGGACAGATTGATACTTGAATACTGGATTTTTCTGAAATGTTTTCATGAAGTGTAGACACACAGTACATCTAACAAAGACCTCAGCTGTCAGGAGCAAAGAAAAAGTTACTGTCCTGCTGGTAGGAGCGATTTTATCTTTTGGAAGACAATGACAATTACATGGTAAGTTGTGGTGTTCACAGAGAGCACAGACCACTCAGCATCTTCTTTAACGTGCAGGCTGCACATCAACAGAACACACTATTTGTATTTCAAAGGTCTCCTAATATTGTTTTAAAAACAATCTCTTTCCAGCCAAGGCTACTGGTTATAATGTACTGTATGCTGTATAATTGCTGTACATGTTGCAGTGTATAAATCTTTTTTTGCATGTGCGGTCACATTGTTTTGTAATATTTGCAGAGATCATCAGTTATTTTTACCTGGAGCAAGTCTGACATGATTGCATGGCCCAGCAACCCGAGCCAGCGTTATTTCTACATCATGGCTTTGTTGGTGTTTGAATTCTTTTTGTAACATTGGTTTGAAATGTAACAAAACTATTTGAATACCATTTACTGCATTTCTGCCCGCTTTTATCATATTTTCACCTACTTAAAAACAATACATGGTTAATAATAATAATACTAACTTTATTTGTATAGCACTTTTTAGTGCTGTACAATAAAACAAACATCCATACTAAAAAAAATAAAATAAAATGTTAATGACATCCCATTCAAAATCCATAGAGTTTAATATGGACCCACCCTTTGCAGCGGTCTACAAGGTTTAGGAGTGTATTCATGGGAATTTTTGACCATTCTTCTAGAAGCGCATTTGTAAAGTTAGGCACAGATGTTGGACGAGAAGGCCTGGCTCGCAGTCTCCGCTCTAATTTATCCCAAACGTATTCTATCGGGTTGAGATCAGGACTCTGTGCAGGCCAGTTACGGTCTTCACACCAAACTCGCTTATCCATGTCTTTAGGGACCTTGCTTTGTGCTCTGGTGTGCAGTCATGTTGGAACAGGAAGGGGCCATTCCCAAAAGTTGTGAGCATGAAATTGTCCAAAATGTCTTGGTATGCTGAAGCATTAACAGTTTCTTTCACTGGAACTAAGGGGCCAAGCCCAACCCCTGAAAAACAACCCCACACCATAATCCCCCCTCCACCAAATTTAACACCTGGCACAATGCAGTCAGGCAAGTACTGTTCTCCTGGCAACCGCAAACCCAGACTCTTCCATCGGATTGCCACACAGAAGCATTATTCATCACTCCAGAGAACACGTCTCCTCTGCTCTAGTGTCCAGTGGCGCCGTGCTTTACACCACTGCATCCGATGCTTTGCATTGCACTTGGTGATGTAAGGCTTGGATGTAGCTGCTCGGCCCTGTAAACTCATTCCATGTAGCTACGCACTGTTCTAGAGCTAATCCAAAGGCCTGTAGCTATTGACTCTGTAGAAAGTTGGCGACTTCTGCACACTGTGTGCCTCAGTGCTCTTTCGCAAATGTCTGTAGAAGTAGCCTGCATGCCAAGGCTTGATTTTATACACCTGTGGCCATGGAAGTGATAGGAACACCTGAATTCAAAGAATCGGAGGGGTGTCCTAAAACTTTTGGCAATATAGAGTATAATGTTTATAAAAACGCCATACGATGGAAGTGAGCTGTAGTCTATAGATGTTTCCCTTACTACAGTAATACCTACAGAGCATTGCAGTAGTCGAGTCTTGAGAAAATAAAGGCATGGAGGACCTTCTCTAAATCAGCAGAGGAGAAAAATGTTCTAATCTTTGTTAGCTGTCTCAGCTCGACAAAACAGGACAGCACCACTTTGGTCACCTTAGCATCAAAAGACAGCTCTGAGTCAAAAATGGTTGCCAAGGTTGTGTGCTTCTTTCTGAATGTTATCTGAAAGGATAGGCAGGAGATTATTAAGGTAGCTAGTGCTGGGTCCAACGGGGGCAAATACAACTATTTCTGATTTAGTTTCGTTTAACTGAAGAAAGTTATTAGACATCCAAGCATTTATCTCAGCAAGAGAGAAACATCGGTAGAACCAGGCCTTAACGGGACATACAACTGGATGTCATCTGCAGAGAAATGGAAATTAATATTATAAGTCTGAATGATTTGCCCTAGGGGTAACATGTGAAGTGCCCCCAAGCTCGACCCCTGGGGGACCCTAAAAAACAGAGGAGCATGAGAAGAGGAGGCTTCTCCAAGGATCACAGAAATTACCTATTTGACAGATTGCAGACAAACCAATCCAGGGCCACATCACTGATGGCAACATAGTCACGCTGAGCTGAGGTCAAGAAGAATTAAAAGAGAATATATTCCTGAATCAGCTGCAAGCAGCAAATCATTGGTGACCTTAATCAGAGCAGACTCAGTACTGTGTAAGTAGCGGAAACCTGATTAAACTTTTCAAAAGTTTGATTATTGTTCAAAAAGGAAATTAACTGATGAAACAATTTTATTGTAAAATCTTGGATAAAATGGCAGCTTGGAAATGGGTCTAAAATTACTTAAAACAGAGGCATCTAAAGAGGGCTTTTTAATGATGGCTGGGCCAACCGTGTGAAATACAGCTTTTAAAAACCAAGTCTGAATGCAGTCTGAAGGGCAGGTAGATGATTTAGACAATGCAACAGTGTGTTCCAGGGTTCCTGCTGAATCTCCACGACTTAAAAAAAAAAGTAATTAAGAAATTCTTCACATTTTTCCGGAGAAGATTCACCTGGCTGTATGGGTGCAGGACCAATTACTGAATATAAGTTGGACACATTATCCACACATAAACCATAGGTGACCAAAGTGTGTGACCTTTGTTATGTGTGGGCTGCTTTATATATTGGACCAAGTTAAAAGACTCTGAGTTTGATCAAAACAGAGATAAATGAGGATGAAGACAGACAACAGACATGACAATCTCCAAGAATAAGAACACATAAAATGGACTGTTTGTTCTTTGAATTAAAACTAAGACACATACGCTGTTGTCCCATCAGCTGGGCGGATTTAGTAAATAGTCATGTTTAAAATGTTCATTCATTTCCTAAAACAGCTTCTCATTGTAGTTTCTACCAAACAGAAAGAAACAGGCCTCAACCAAGCAATAAATGTGCTGTTCTCTTGCTGAACTTGCACTTAACCATATTAAATGAAAGTAACATTAATATAAAGAAATTGAACTTCGAAAGGTTCTTTATGAATACTTGACTGATAATTTTTCATTGCTAAAGAATTGTGTTTGTCACTGAGAACAGGAGTTGAACTGATTTATTTTAAACCTAAGATATTTTTTCTAGAGCATCAACAGTAAAGTCCTATATTCACACTAGGACTCAATATCTCACTGGAAACAAATCTAAAATGTCATGTCATGTAAAATAAATAGCTTGATATTCCTGACATCAAAATACTGAGTGAAGTTTAAAAAGAACACCGACATCAGTCAGTCCTTCTTCCTGTGTGTGTGTACCCTCAATCAAACACAGAATAGAGAAGCTAACGTGACCATATACAACAATATGTGGAGAACATAGTAATTTTTCTTTTCATTCAGGTAAGATGCTGATAAACACCACAGTCCTCCAAAATATTCTGATCTTGGCACAATATGCATGAGTGGTTATTGATTCCATGTTGATTGTTCTGTAGTTGTTACAGTTTAATCAATGCAAATGCTTCCCCAAAACACATTTAAAATAGACATGGACTTCATAATCCAATCAACAAATAAAAAACCTTTCAAAATCATCTTTAGGAGAACATTTTTAAATTTTATTGGATTTTAGACTTTGAAATGATTAAAAGTTCTAAAGTAGGTTTTGGGGACCGGGCTACTGGCAACACCATGTTAAACATAAGGCATTGGTGGCAATCTTTATACCATAGGATAAGATTAGATCAAGAGTTTGACATTTTGAGTGTGCAGGTCGAGTCAGAGCATGTAATAAGATAAATCACTTTAGAAGATTTTTGAAATCAAGGGAGATGTCAGGGCAAAAGGTATGGATAAGAAAGTCAGAAAGGATCAGAACCAGAACCACAGACCAGGATATTTTACTTTAAAAGGAAGGATTTCTTAACAGCCCCAGCTCACTGCTGGAGAATTTGTAGCTTTCTTTGTGTAAAAGACACCACCACCCCTGCCCGTTAGTCTGGGCGGCTTAAAAACAATAGCCAGGTGGGTAGTAGAACATGATCATTTGGTGTCAGCCAAGATTCTGAGACAAGGCAGAGATCTGAATCATTTGAAAAGACAATTTTTGTTACATAAAAAAAATAATTCACAAATAATCTCCTGCAGAGTTGATAAACAAACACAATTATGATTAAATCTGACATACCTGTTTTTGATAACTGCTGCTGCCCCATTTGCACAGTGGTCTTCTACTACAAATGGTCTTAATCTTGTGTGAGAATCTTTTGAACACTATCAAGGAGGGCTTGTACAGGATAATCAGCATGGACAGATGTTGTTCATGAAAGACACAAACCTTTCTGTGTGGAAATGTGTGCCCTTTTTGTTGGGGTGTAGTATGGGCAAGTCTCTCCTACTCCAAAATATATTGAAGTGATCATTAAAGCTGAAACTGGTGACAGAACACAGGCCCTGAAGCTACTGATTAAAACCCAAAAGCAAACTAAAAGCTTCACCCTTTTCTAGGAAAGGGCCAAGATATTTCACCTTTTTACCCAGACAGTTGTACCCACTTGAACGAAGACTGTACGGGCGGATGGATGGAGCTCAATAACTGCAGGGATGTATTTGTTATATCCAAGATTTTCGCACCAGAGAAACAGTATGTTACGCCCCTGGGAGTTCCATAAAGTGACCAAGTCTCCGCCCACAGGAATCTCCAAATCTAACATGTTGCCATCATACAAAGCAAGATTTTAGAAGGGGGTCCATGAAATTGATGAGATGCGCAGGAGGGGGAACATTTTCAGTCAGGGCTGGACCGGACCAACAGACCACTCGGTAGGGTGACTGAGTGGGGTATCTTTGATGGACGGAATCCATTCCATCTAGCCAATGAGGGAAGGATGAGGCCTCTTGTGCTTCCTTCTTAAAGGAGAGGTTTAAATAGCAAATAGCAGGCATGTAGAGGAGCAAAAGTTTGACAGCGGGAGGTCACGATCATCCTCAATGGGCAGGTTGTTATCCAGGCCAGCACGCACCAGCTCAACCAGGTGGGAGTGCAGTAAATGTGTGTAGAATATTTATTTTGTAGGTAGGTAGGTACATTTATTTTATCACAGCATAACAGTTTATATAGTGAAATCAAGTTTGTAACTCCCTTCTGCTACATAGCAGACAATATACATAAATATAGATGCAATTATAAACAATGGTAAACAGAAATAAACTATATTTAATAGAGCAGTGCTGAAGATGAATTTGACCTTAAAAGTCTGATAGCTTGGGGGGGGGGAAGCTGCTCTGCATTCTGGTGGTGCGGCAGCGTGTGGCATGGGAATTTGGCCTTCTTAAGTTTCCTTAAGAAATCCAGGCGTTTTTGAGCCTTCTTCACCAGCGTGGAGATGTGAGACAACCATGGCCCATAACATGGCTGTCCATCCAATAATTGTCGAGACATTTAATTCTGCACCAAAGTGGTAGACCAACAGACCAATGTTACATCACCAGTCAAAAACAACTAGACAGTAAAAGTAAGGGTGTGAAAAATTCTACTTATTTTAATGGTCAAACAATAAACAAGCAGAATAATGAAAAACTCAACATCAAGTTGAGGCCTCTGACACTTTTTCAACACTGTTCATAGTACTTTTCGGTAAACAGCAGTGTTTCATAGAAGCACTTATCCTCTATTCTTATTATAATCCAACTCACAGGTTGATTATTTCTGCAACTGAAATTCTCTTTTCAAAAGGAACACAATCAACATCAAAACCAAAATGATTCATGAGTGCTTTCAGAGACAGCTGATCACTGATCCAGCACCATCTTTCAAACAACATGCTAAAATAAATAGATAATAAACAGAGATTTCATAGAATTGAACCAAAGCGCAAAAATCTTTGAGGTAAAAAAAAATAAAATAAAGATAAACAAAAGATTCCAAAACTTGGGATCCCGTAAACACAATCTACAGATTAATATCAGTCATTAACTGTAGGAGGAGTAATTTATGGTGGTCAGATCATCGCTTTGTACAGAGTGAGAGAGTGGCGTAGGAAGTGGTCCTGCTCCATACACATCAGCAGATCCCTCAGGATGATCCGAGTCACTCTCTGAACACCCTGTCTGGGCAGCAGAGTCACCTGAGACACACACACACAGCAAGTAAACTATATATTCAGTATAAATATGACTATTTTCAGATTCATTGTTATGTAATAAGTAAGCAATGATCTACAGTACAATTAGCTGTTTATTATCACAAAAAACACCCTGCTGACATTAACCTGCTGGTCTTATGGTGAGTGTCTGACACAAATACTGATCCAATTTGTCTTATTGTAAGACGGGAACACAAACGGGGATAAACTGGAAACATAAAATTATCAAAATTAAGAACTGCCGTTACATCAGACGTTTTGAGTGTGAAAGTTCATTCTCGACCTTGAGAACAGGAGTTTGACAGAATACTCAAGGTTCACTTACTATGTTTTTCAAGGATTTTCAACCATATCTGATGATCATCAGTGGAGTTTGCTTACAGTAGTTGTGTGCTTTCAACACTTTAAGATCTCTGCTGGTATACCATAAAGTCAGGACCCCCCCGAAAAGAAGACTGGAGTGGTGTTCGACATCGTCATCATCACATGTAACAGCTGTGGGGAGCACTGCATCAGTAAAATATCAAGGACCTGGATGAATGAACACCAGACCAAAACACACAGCACGCACTGTGAAAAGGTCAAAGACCACCGTGCGGAAGTCAGTGGACAACCGAAGAAAGATCGAGGAGGACGCACACCGGACACCAGAGAAGGCTGATTGAAAGCTCTGGCTCCAGCTACTGTAAATGGCTCCCTGATGTCCAGTGCCGTCCCTGATTGGTTTAAAACTGCTCTGCTATACCTTTCCTGAAAAATGTTGATCCCCGTTTCTAAATTGTCATTGTCATCAAGTCCTAGAAAAAAGGACTGGTTTTCCTGCACATCTGCAGGACATTATCTTATTTGAAAAATTCCATTCTGCATTTTGATCACTTCATAGAGCTGAGACTGCTCTTCTGTGTCTGTAATGACCTTTTGCTGACTGAAGATGCTCAGTTTCATCCCCCACAAACATGCACTATGGCATCCGTCAGGGTTCCATTCTATTTCCATCTATATACTCCCCCTTGGTAATATAATACAATGCAGTAGCTCATCTGCTGGATCGGACCACACAGGCCACCAAAACTCACTGAACCAAATGCATCAGTGAGTCTTGGCTGTCCATGACCTTGTCACAGGTTCAGTTTTTCCTTCCTTGGACTACTTCGGGTTACACTTGCCCATTTTTCCTGCTTCTAACACATCAACTATGTGGCAGAACGTTGTGGTGGCAGCCCTGCTGACAGTGAGTGTCCTGTTTATTTCTCTTTTTGCTTGTGATTCTGTTTTCCCCTGATGTTTTCCTGTACTCTGCCTGCCTCTCTGTGTCTCCTCCCCTGCATGTGCTCTACCCCGGTTCTCCAGTCAACCCCTGCTTGATTGTCGTTGCTCCTTACCCGGTGCCACTTCACCACTCAAGCTCTTGAGTATTCTGCGTTGTTTCTGTTTCCCTGTACTTTGTTTCCCCAGTGTCTAACCCTGTCCGCCTCCCCTCCAGGTTCACTCACCTCCGTCCTCCATTCCGTCAGCTGGGCTCGCCACCCTGCCCTCTCCCCTCGGACCTCTTCCACGGCATCCTCCCGGCTCCTCCCTGTGCCTCCTTACTTCCTCGGCCCCCAGTGCCCCCAGCTCCCTTGTCTCAGTCTCCTCGGTTCCCCGTGCACGTGTTTCCCCGGTGTCCGCCTCTCCCTCACCTCCACTCCCTCAACCCCTTTTCCCCTTCAATAAAACCTGTTCATCTTGAGTGTTGCGTTTGGGTCCACTCTGTCCCCACATCATAACACAGAGGTTCACTTGTTGCCTAATATATCTTATCCACTTACAGTGGTCAGAATGTTAAGGCTGATCGGTGTATATCCCCCTATGAGCCTGGAGGCAGACTGAGATCCTCTGGTAGGGCAGTGCTAGCTATTCTGAGGTCTAGGTTAAAAACCAAAGGAGACAGGGCCCCTACACTCTAGAATAATCTGCTAGAGGAGATCGGGCTTGCAGAGTCTATTCCTGGTTTTACCTTACTTCGTAAGACACATTTTCTACAAAAAAGCTTTGAATGTGTGATGCAAATTTTATTAATTATTTGTATATCAACTTTGTTTCTTTAAAATTGATTATAAACTACTGCGTGATGTGTAATTTGTTTTTCCTTTAATTGTACATTGACTTGTTTTATATATTCTTTGTTGTACACCACTGTGTGTGATAGTAATTTTTATTTGACTTGTCTATGTCCTGGCTCAGAATGGGCCTTTAGAGGGTGACTTCACACAATAGTAAGCATGATCGGTACGCATACAATAATGGTAATGAATTACCTATGAAATTATGCATTTTCTTGTTATTTCTGACCATTTGATAAACAAAATATCAGCAACCTGGAGGAGTAGGCTAACAAGTATAAATTAGTGTATTAATAAATATTATAACATTAAATAAAAAGTATAATGTTAGTATAATATATTTACAGGTTACACTTTACACCACATTCCAAATTATTATGCAAATTGGAACTAAGGGTCATTAAATATTTAGTTTTCAAATCAAACTTATAGATGGTATTGTGTCTCTGGGATCATTGAGTCACTGAAATCAATGAAGAAGAGAGCAGCTGCTAAACTGCCATTACAAAGCGGTGCGTGTTTACAGACGGTAAGCTCCTCTTTTCTTGAGAAGCTGCAGAGCTGCAGTCTATTCATTCAACTTACGCTGTAAATTTCCAGCTAAACTGATCTCTCTCTCTCTCTCGCCTGTCATTCAGCGGCCTTGGGCAGAATTTTATGTGCATTACTGCTGCCGACAGCTACATGCACGTCGCGGCTCCCCGCGGTTCTATTTCAAGTAGCTGGCTATTTAAAAACGATATAATATTCTCTATGTGGTTCATCAATGGTGACAAATTATCCTAAGGTCTCGCGAGGTGCGGACAACTCCCCAGGGTTAGGGTTACAAATTCTGGATTTATTCACACACTTCAAAAACATTTATTGAAAGTTCTATTCTTTTTACATGTTTATTTACATGTTAAACATTGAAATGTATATTGTAATAGGCTGTATATTAACTTATTGGGAGAAAACTGGTAGTTCTATGTAAAATCAGACGTTGAGCACCCCCATATAGCCAAAATGGCATGATCCTCGTTTCTGCTACGACACTTCAATTGTGAGATTGACAGTCGAATCAGGCTCCGCCCATCGAAGCATCGAATCTTCGACTATTCGGGGTCAGCCCTAAAATGCACCATCTCATGCTGCAAAGAATACCTCTGTGTCATTGGCTGCTGTGGGCATAAAAGGAGAGAAACTCATGGTGTGGCCCCCATCCTCCCCTGACCTCAATCCTATTAAGAACCTTTGGAGCATCCTCAAGCAAAAGATCTATGAGAGTAGGGGGCAGTTTGCATCAAAACAGCAGCTCTGGGAGGCTATTCTGACATCCTGCAAAGAAATTCAAGCAGAAACTCTCCATAAACTCACAAGTTCAATGGATCCAAGAATTCTGAAGGTGATATCAAAGAAGGGGTCCCATGTTAACATGTAACTGCCCTGTTAAGTGTTTGTTTGAAATAGCGATTGATTTAAGTAAATATGACCTCCTAATGCTACAAGTTCAACAATTCAGTTCTTTACAACCTATAAAATGTTTTGCAACTGTTGTGCATAATAACTTGGAACAATGGATTAAGAGTTTTTTTATGTTGAAAAAAATAAAACAACCATTGGGTGGTTTGTTCAATGAACTTCAAGTTATTCCCTAATGGTTGATGACTTGAAAATCATACTGACTGTCATTTGCATTGACTATTTAGGAAAATCAGTGTAAATATTACTTGCATAATAATTTGGAACACAGTGTATTTGGATACTCTGCCTACAAATAATTTCTGTTTCACCAATAAAACTTTCTGATCTAATATTACACCACTGTGATTAGAGTTATAAGTTCAGATCATAGTATAGGCTACTATATAGCTTAAATTATTATAATTCATTAGTGTGCAAGAAAAGTACTCATGGAGGTTAGTCTTTTTTTATGCAAAGTAATAACTTAATAATAAAAACCGTTCAGACAGAATAACGAGTTCAACATTTCAAAATATTTTCATTGCCTTATTGTCAATGGGCTCAAAAGTCACTTAGAAATGAAGCACATGCCTGTTTTCTCCGTTGCTTGCATCAGCCACTATTCTGTTTTTAATGAGAGGTCTCCGGGTCGGATTCAGCCCTGTGCGCGCTCCCAAGCCTCTTTCTGACTACAGCGACAACACGGCAGCCAACGACATGCAGTCCACTAACACCATAAAACAACCAGCTCACAGCAAAACACAGGCTCCACGTAAGGATCCGAAACAACAATAAAGGTTTATGTGCTGAAGCCATCAGACCAAACAGGTTCAGATGATGTCGAGCAGAACAAAGTGAGGAAGATGCACTAACACTACAGTAAAGTTACTTACTGCGGTCTAACTGTCAAAGTGTGACACAATCTCATTATAATATTCAGTCCAGCTCACTACCCGTTTCATCCATATATTTCTGTGCTGACATTGCTGAGCCTCCGGTGAAAGATACACAGATTGTAAAGATAGTTGCGGCTGGCTGCGCTGAATGAAGTAACATTACGGAGCCGGTGTTGATCTGCCTCTGAGACGGGAACGTTGAAGTAACAGAGCCTGAACACAGACATCTGTGTGAAAAGTCACAGCCTGCATGCTGGTGTTCCTGCGTTTATAAGCGGTTGTGTTTCGGGATTATGCTCGCTCAAGCGAGTGAGTTCAAGCGAGCACACGCCTGGTTGCAATCTTAAAAATGCACCGCTAGTGGCCGCTGAAAACTACATAATGCCCCTTTAAAATAAAATATTGTGGTCAGTGCAGGTATACCATAAAAAACAAACAAACAACAAAGTGTGGAGTAGTGTTGTCAAAAATATTGATTTTTTTTATACATATCAATTCTGAATATTTCAGATGGTTTTAATATAATTTTCCACAGTATCGATCCTGAAAATGCTCATCCCCCAGCTGATACACACACTGCTGCAGTGCCCACACAGCCCACTGCATTTGAATCGCATTTTTTTACCCTGCCAGAGTTTCGACAACTCCGGCCCGACTATGCTGTGATTGCCAGTCACAAGTGACGATTACTAGTCAAAGGGTACAAGCAAGTCCATATGAAAGTGACAGTACAGAGCTAACGAGCAAAGCACCCGCAGGAACGGTTGGAGACGTCTCTCCTTTCAACATCACTAAATTATTAAAGTATTGACCAAGATGGCCCAGTTTGCGTAACAGACATTTATAATTCTCTAAACTAAGCTAATACCCCTCTGAGCATGATGGTGAGATTTCTGGGGAGTTGTTCAGTTCAATAAAAGATTCCTTCTGGCGAGGAAATTATTGAAATCTTTGTCAGTTACAAGTGAGGTGTTAAACCACCACCTACTTGAGCCGGTTGGATTTGTTTCATGTACTAGATTAAAGCTGACCGGGCCATGGTCTGAGATGGTTATAATAAGCATACGCTTATTTTAGAGTTTATGCCTGACAAAAGTGCTCGTGTTTGACAGTAGCCCAGTAGTTCCCTGCCTGAGCTCCTGTCTGAGTATGTACAATAACAAATGCTTAAGAGTGAAAAAGATCAGCTGTAAAAACACAGATGACATTCAAAAGAGCTTCCACTCCAAACACTCTTACCATCACACCTGGAGGCACAGGCTTTACCTCAGTGGGCACAGCACACACTAGTGAGGAGGTAAAGGAAGCCCTGTGGCTGTGAGAGGAATGGGAGACTGAGTGAGGCAGCAGACAGCTGGCTCCGCTGGGTACTCTGCTGCAGTTCAAAGGCAGTGGGAAGTGTGTGCACTTAACAGAGCGTCCTCATCTTTAAACCTACAGCCTGCAGGGCCACAACTTAAACACACAGAATTAAAGACTATGAGCTAAACCAACAGTCTCACACAAAGCTGTCTGTGTTAGCTGAGGAGGGGGTGGTCTTTATAGCAGGTATTTCTATCAACCAATCATTGGTGCTACACAACCATTGTCAGTTTCAGTCTTCACATAAGAACATAATGCATGTGTGTGGTGTTTTATATTTTGTTTCTTTGCTTGGTGCCAAGTAGTTTTTACTGTGGTACCTTTTCTGTCTTTATCCTTAACTTTGGAGGCACCCAGCTGGCAAGATATTGTTTTATCTTTCTTCTGTAGCTCTGCTACAGGACTCAACGTTTACATTAGCAAGCAACATGAGTCACAGTGGTTGTCACAATGCAAGAAACATCAGGAACAGGTTGACGTCAGGATGTTATAGTGGCACTATTTAAATGTTTGAAGCAATGAGAGCAACCTCAACAAATTCAAGCTCCCTATAATTTGCTTTTGTCCTCCTTTTAGAGGACACATTAAAAGCCTTCCAGTGTTCACATGAGAGAATTGTAGCATCTCCTGGTAGGCCTTTAACGTAAAATATCTGCTGGAAGTGCTGAATTCTATGACAGAATGGAAACACCACACAGACCAACCTGGCTTTCAGTCTGCTCCAGAGGTCTCTTCTTGCGAGGCCCAATGGCAGCTAGAGCAGTGAGGTTGGCCTCTCTTTGCTGCAGCTGAGCTTGTTCAATTTGTTGTAACTGAAAAAAGAATCGAGACAAAGGATTAGTAAAAATACATGCACAGCTGTTCACACATTGCGGAGGGCTTGTTGATAATACCAGCGGCGGACAAAAAAATAAAAAAATAAAACACTTGTGGCGTGAGGTGTTGGAGGGGTGGTGGACTGCAGCCAATCACCTTCTATGCAGAGCGAATGATACGCTGCAGTCTGCCTTTGTCCCTGGCAGTGGCAGAAGCGTACCAGATAGTCATGGAGGAGGTGAGGATGGACAATGATGGTGGTGTAATGCAAAGGTGAGAGCACCTTTGAATGATCAACAGTTTATTAAGATCCCAGAACAGGAGAACAGTGCTGTTTAATCACCGTCGCATTGTTACACCAGCCACTGTTGACGTAAAAACAGACACCTCCACCTTTCGAGAGATCAGTGTCACAATCACGAGTTGGAAGCCTGCCAGCTGCAGCACAGAGTCCAGTATCGATCCACACTTCTATGTCTCCATAAAGCAGAACAGAGGATGAATAAAAGTCTGTTTTTCCGGCACGTTTCCCTCTCCACCTGCATTTCAAAGTTTCGGCGTAAAAGCTTGAATGGAAAAGTGAACTCATGAGATGTTTCCCTGTCTCTGACTCAACTACTTGACATGATGAACTACCCAGCAAGAGGGAGTTACAGTTAATTGAATTTAAATCAATAGCCACACAAAGTTTGTTAAAGGTGGTTCTCTGTCACCAAACTCGCATTTTATGCACTACTACCTTCCACTGAGACCTGAGAAACAGACAATTAGTCAAGTCACGTCACTTTTAAAAGCAACCCACATTGACCAAAGTACTGTCCAGACCAGAGCATGTGGCTAAAATCACAAATCAAAGAAACAGAGACATAAACATTGTCATAGTTTATTGACATAAACAGTAACCCTAACCCTCAAGCTTGTGTGTATGTGAGAGTGTGTTTGTGTGTGTAGGTCCAGACTTGGCGAAGTGCAGTGAGTGAGGGTATGGTGCAGTGGCTGAGAGTGTGTGTGGGGGTGGCAGCAACAGGCCAATGTAAATGAACTGATTTTTTTTTTTTGTTTTAAAGAAACCTCTGGGAGCATGATGAAAAGGAAAACAAGCCGTTAAATAGACACACACCTATCATCTTCCTCACACTTCTCCCTATTCTGCCAGCAAATAACATTACACACACTAATGCATTACTAAATGAACAATTAGCAAATTTAGAAACACAGGCATTTAACAAAGTTCCCAAACAACACTTCTTTGTAGTTTACACTGGTACACAGAACTGAAAAATATCAGGAGCCTTTCACTACCTTAGTGTGAAATAAACCGGTTATCCACAGACCAATCCAGCCTCAATCCATAATCTTCATCTCTGATTCTTCTGACTGAAGTGCCAAAAATGTCCCCATGTAGATTTTGAACAACTTCTGTCCTTGGTTAATGCACCCAACCATGTATATAACTTAATGCTCTATTTTAATAATGATAATAATAATAGAAACAATAATTGCTGTAGTTAATTCTATTAAATTACTTCAATAATAGGGCAACACATACCATCAGGTAACACAAATGTGTCTATTGTCAAGAGTTGTGTGATTCAATTTACATTAATGTGCAGTAGCACTCCCTTTACTATCTTGTATTACAAGATTGTGGAAAATGCTGGACATCACTGCTCCATGCCAATACTGGATTTTTATCACTAATGTCACACACACACACACACACACACCCTTAACTAAAACCAGTTCTCTCTACACATCTTTTAGCCTGTTTTAGCTTGTGTATAACACAAGATTGAAACACATACACACCTCTTTGGCTCTTTGCTTGAGCTGCTGATGCAGTGGATCCTCAGTATGTGAGCGACTCTGAACACAGACAGATGATACATTTCATTTCACTTTGTTTCCATATTTTTTTCTGAAATTTGTCTTGCGTCCTATGATGTTCACTGTTTCACATATAACAAAAACACATATTTAACCAGTTGACTTAGTCAGCAGCATTTAATCCTACACATGCAGAAATTAAATGTCTACACACAAGTAGCCCTCACAAGTAAAGGAAGTGAAGGGCTGGACTACAAACGATGTTTTCAAGCAGTTCAGAGCAGAGCTTTCTGTGGGAGATGGGAACTCCCTTTGGGCTGGACTTTGGGCTTTTCACTTTGCAAACCTGTTACATGCACAAAAAAGAGATATAACTCAATAAAGGAGAGGGGAAAAGCCAAAAGCAGAATACCACCTCTTTAATTATGACCTAAAAGGGCACTTAAATTTCTACAAATGTCTAAAGAAACTTTTAAATCTAAACTTCATATCATAAAAACAACCATAACCAAACCTTGGTTGTATATCTAATGTCTAGTTTCTAATAGAAAAAATGGTAGTTGTTTGTGTCAAACAAGAGTAGGGCTACCTTCTAGCCTAGCTTACTCTGGCCAAACGCA